TACTTCTGTTTTATTCGTAGAATTGACAAGAGGGAAGTTAGTTATACAGATAAAGACTTTTGCTCAATTTCTGTTTGCTAATTGGTTCTCAAATTTTTTCATTGATGGTCCTTAAGAGTTCTTTATTTCTATGTGCAGAAATATGTATGAACCCCACCTATAAGGCTATTTAAAAAAATATTGAAGAGTGAAAATTGTAATGTATACAAAAATTTTATTGAAAATAAAAGAACCTGCTTTGTATGCATATTTGAAATTTATAGAAATTTTATTTTTTCTTCAGTGTTCCTAAATGATTTAAATTCAGCTTGAACTATTATCAACCAGGCAAAAAACAGTGTTGCAGAATGGCAATGAAATTTCATCACTTTTATTTTGTTTTATATGAAATTTAATAGCAATAAAAATACCAGAAGTTGAAACAGATAGAGAACCATCTGCCATAATGTATTGACCAGCCTGATCAGTGTATTGGTTAGGGATGCTGGCTGCTATACTGATGGACCCAGGTTCAAATTCCAGAGACGGCATGGATGTTTGTAAAATTTATAGTGTCTGTATGGCATAGGGGTATTTACAATACTCACAAACTGAATATCTGCTTGAGTGGCTTAGTGGCAGAGGAAAAGGGGTTGTCCTATTGTATGTTCTCCAACAAAATTGGGAGACTAATGGGAAAATGGTAAATTTCTGGTGTTTCACTCAGTTATACCTATTCTTGTAATGTTGTTTGATGTACATTTATTGTTTTTTAGGATGTCTCTTCTTTGTGGTGAGTATTAACATATTTGTATTCATAAGAAGCAATGATATGATAATCCTAAATGTAATTCAAATCCATGAAAAGGATGCTAAAATTATAATAGAGTATATTTTTTAAACATATTTTGCTTAAAGCAGAATTCCAGTATTACCGCAGTAATTTATATGATGATTAAATATTCCTGAGTTTAAAAGAGCTAAGAAATAATGATATATTTTAAACACTTGTACCACATTTGTTGCAGAGCATGATTAAAGATTGAACCCTGTATATAGGACATTGCATAAACTTTTCATTGGATGTCGTGTGTATCCCCAAGATTGCAGTTTTGATAATTTTATAGATACAGTGATAATTATAATGAAGTACTTAATTAATGAAGTACTTAATAATGAAGTAATTAGATCCTCCAATATAAATCCATGTAGGATTATTCATTTGTAATATTTGTCTCTATATAATGCTGATAACAACCAAAAATTTATATGAATTTTTTTCAATTTACATTTAATATAATACAATTGTCTAGCATGAAATATATTATCACAGGTCTGTTCCTCATATGTTATATGCTTCAGAGAAGTTTCTTCTGCTGTAAATAGTAAATATTTACCTATAGAATGTTAAAGAAATTCCAGGACTGATCTATGAAAAATCATATGATCAGCTCAGTAACAGCTATTGGTATTGTCAAAGTAGTATTCCCTTTAATATCTGTGGGCAAATGTCAATGTTTCTGGAAGTTTTCTGAAACCAGAGGTGGAAGAATCTTCTGGGTTGTTTCTTAGCATAACTGTTATAGTCTTTTAAACTGCTTCATATCACTTCTTATTTGACAGCATTTTCTATTAGAGAAATGAAAATTACTTGGTGACACGTAATGCAAATATGAAAGATATAAAAAAGAAAGAGTGATGTTTGTTTAAATGTTCCCTTACTGATACATTAATTAGTTATTGCCCAGATGCTGACAAGTCAAGTTGGCAATGTCAAATTGCCTGAATGCAAATGTTGTAGTACCTCTGTGTTAAAATTGTGATTTGGGCTTTAGCATCTTCCCTTAAGACAGAAATACCTGATTTATCATAGCTCTTGAACTGATAAATGTGATCATAATTATCTTTTATTTTCAAGGGGTGGATGTTATTTTCTTCATCGTTGAGAGCTCATAAAATTGCTTTTCAGAGCCTTGCCTGTTTATTTGATAGTCATGTTCCTAGTAATTTTATCTTTGGTAGTAATGTTGAACATAAATTTTGCACCATTTTTAGCCTTTTCCAACAGTTTAATGCCATTTATTCTAGTTTGCTTGCACTCTTCTGTCAGTGTAAAAGGAACTGTTTTTACATTGAAATTACTTTTTTCTTAAGTTGTAGCATAAAATTTAGTGACAAGCATCTCTGTTCTAGTTCATATATCTGATATCATATAAACAGAGATAAGATAATCACAAGCTTCTCTCTTTTTCACTGTTTCAGTAATATGGGCTGTAGAAGGCTATTCTGATCATGTATCAACTTACACTGAAATATTATATCCTCAAAACTTCTTGTACTATTTAGACTCATAGCTTTTTGATAATGCCTGATCACTATTTTAAATCATATTTTTTTATGTAGTTATTTTTTTAATTTAATGCAAAATTTAATCTTAATTCTTTGCTCCAGCTGTATGTGCCAATAGGATGAACAGTGTGTTGAGTCTGTTACTTTTGAATAGGAAAAAGTTCTTTTCCACTGCCGAATTTGACTTGTAACCATGGGAGTAAAGGTCCGTTCCCACGTTTATCTGAGCTAACGGAGTCAGTTCCATGTGTCGACTAGCACCGCTGTGCCTGCAGTTCAGATTTTTCAACTTGCTGCCCTATGGGGAAAAACTGGTTTTGGAGATGGGTTGGCTATGTTAGTTGTGTACGTTAGCTCTGATAAACTCCAGTGGGAACAGCCCTTAACAGTTGTGAAAAAACATCTTCCCTTCCCCACTTAATTTCCGTTTAGTATGTTTCTTCATGAAAAGCACATGAATGAAACCTGACTTGAACTACTGTCTCAAATGAGGTGGAGAAAATAAATGTTGTGCTGTGATAAGATAGGAGATAAAATCTCAAATCAAGAAGAGGGGCTGGCAACTGCATTGAAGTGCCTGTTTTGAAGTAACAGACTCTAGGCATGGCCCTGCTACTTGAAGAGTTCACTTTCAAGATCTTGTACATTTACAGCAAATATTAAGTGACTAAATTTTGTGCAGTTAACATGTTCTTAATGTCATAGTTTGGGGTGGAGGATTTTGGAACTTTCCTGACAGAATTAACCCTTTGTTGCATATAAATAATCTAGAGAAGTACCTTAGTAATAATAAAAAAATTAATTTTATTCAAATTTCATTGTAAATAATTGTTACAATTTGTTCACTACAGTGGACAGCATGCACATACGTACATGCATACAAATCTCTTCCCAACAATTTACGGTCATTGCATTTGAAATCATTTCCTGCTTTGTTTGCGGTGATCATAACCATTTTCTAAATGGTAAATCTACAACTGACATGTACATACAGATCCCCCAAAATACCTTCATTTCGTTGATTGTGATTGAATTCATTTTGCTACGATTTTGTAACCTGTACCTATTGAATTCAAAAGTCATTCAATGTATGTTCTAGAAATTCCTTGCCAAACATAAACATTTCCAGTGGTGTTTTGGCTTGATAAGCAGTACATTTGGGTTTCAATTCAACACTTTTCGGTAGATCTTTATCTATCCACTCCACAATTTTCTCAAACTGACATTTAAAATAAAATGTCTAAAATTACTAATTATGGAATAAAAAATGGCCCGTATAAGAAAATGTAAGCAATATTATATAATGTTTACTATAAGAAACTGTACTAACTTGGAAACAGAAGTAGCAACCATTTACCCAAATAGCAAGTGAAATACTTAGTGATGCTATACAGCCATGTATGATTCGACAGTTGAAAGTTCTAAAATATAGAATGAATAAACACAGGAATGGAATCTGTTAAGGCATTTACAGAAGAATAAACAAATTTTTAAACTTTTGTCTACTAGAGTGGACACGATGCAACTAAGGGTTAATATAGACATACACTTATATATTTACATATATATTTTACATATATATATATATATATATTATATATGTAAAATAGAAAATACGTAAATCAAAATTTTTAACTTCAGATTCAACAAAATTTTCAATAGTTCCTTAATTCTTCATTTTAACTTGGTTATTTCTCCTTTCTGTCATAAAAATAGTAAATGCCTGTAATAAATCTTTGTGTAATAAATCTGTAATAAACTGCATCATTTCAAAATCAATCCATATTATATGATTCTTGCATAACATAAATGATGTAAATGCTTACATAATGTTTCTATTGATGACAACTACAAATTTGGGAACCAAAACTTAATATCAATTAGTGGGGATATATCTTAACTGAAATTGATTCATTCTGAGCCTAAAATTTTATCTTGGGCATATTATATTCAATCATTGCTTCTTTGTCTAACTAGACAGCTTTTCTAATTTTCTTATGACAGCTCTTGAAAAATGTAAAATCTATTCAAGACTGGCCATACTTTGTCCCAGTTTTATCTGTAATATATAAAAAATTTTAGAAAAAATTAAAAGTATATATATATTGTATCAGACATGACTGGAACTATTTTTTATACATCTGCATGTCTTCAGTAGATATTATTTTATTAGCAATAATTATTTTAAACATGTACACCCACTTATGATGTATAAAAATTATTTCATATGTATACACATCTCACTTAATCTGTATACTTCCTACTCAACCATTCAGGATACATACTGATAACTGAGTGAAGACTATTTAGAATTCACTTTTTTCTTCCAATATTCACAAGGAAATTTTTAAATTATTACTTTAAAGGTACAAATGTGAATTCTCATGAATATGGTTATGCTTACTAGTGACAAGGGTTAAGAATGTATAAGTACTCCAACAGGATAGCTATCAGACCTTTTTAATGAAGAAATTATGCTTGTTATTAAATCATTTTAGTTTAATGTATACATTTGTAATAAAACATCCTTTTTATTTAACCTCCTGTAACTCCTTTTCCTTCCTTAAGTAATGATTCTGTTTGTAAAGATTTTAGCATTGCATTCAAATGTATCTTCATTTCTACATCTGTTAGTCTATTTATTATGTAACAAATATTTAATCTTTTTTGAGATGGGACTATTTATGAATCAATTACACCTCCAGATTCTCCAAGTGCATCAGAATATTCAATTATTGGTAAGATTTATTTATTTTTTAGCTATAAACTGTATTGGTATTTTTCTTATTTTAGAAAATGTTTGCTAATAAATGTGTGATAAGTCTGTGAACCATAAAGCTGTATGAAAAATTATTTTATGTATTTCAACAAATTTAATTATTATTTAAAAAAATGGAAGAATTAATTCTAATGATTGATTAAATAATCATTCTCAATAAATGTTAAATGCATTTTTACTGACTCATCAATTTTTAAGGCATACTTCTTTTGACCAATATGAAATTTATTCATCAAAGAGGAATTAAAAAAATTTTTCCATCAATTATATGAAGAAAGTTAATTCCTAAAGTGTTCTGATGTTGAAAAAAATTTCAAAATATTTTTAATATAATATTTTATCTGTAATTAATATCTGTTGATTAAATTGAAATAATAAGCTTAAGATCTGATTATTATGTTGGCATTCTTCATACTAATACAAGAAATCAGCATAGACCAAGAAGTAGAGCTTAGAAACTAAAGTAAAAATAAATACAGCAGTAAATCCATTTGAAGTAATTTCAGTCATTTTGAATAAGCCTTTAATGTAATTTTCTGCAAAATGAATTCCCCCCCTTTTTTTAAGCAGATCTCCTTACATTATTTCTTTTATAATTCGATGCTATATTTTTGATTTTTTGCAAATAGGTGTTTCTCAATTTAATCAGGATTAAGTTGCAGCACGTAGTAATTAAGTTATCTAAAAGAAGTCAGTTAGTATATGGACATCTGGAATTGTTGTCCAATTGAATTAAATATTTTAGACATCTTTACATCAGAACATATTGTGAAATTCAATTTGGCACCAACTTATAGTTAAATTTAGGAGTATGTATCCAGTGGCAAGTAATTTCTAAGCAGATTGCAAGCTTACCTTTTTTTTAAATCAAGAAATCATCATTATATTGTTTACTTGTGATTTATGACTATAACTATCATCAGATACAGCATGAAAAATTTCCTGTAGTCTTTATAATAGGACTTCATTACAATTACAAATGCCTGTTAGTTAAAGTATTTAAAAAAAATAATTACTATAAATGCCCTTATTTTCGCGGGCCATAATTTTCGAAAAAATGAATATATCGGTGATTTCGCGAGTTGAAAATTTCGCGAATTTTATATGAATAGAACCAAAAGTTGAAAAATTTCAAAGGTACCTAAGTAAAGTTGAGAAAGTTGAGAAATTCGAAAAGTCCTCAGACTTCCCAGCTATTCGAGATGAATTCGTTAAGCGTGTTCGTACAGTGATCGACAGAAATGTTGTTCCCACTGAGATGTTCGTTAACTTTGATCAAACAAACGCAAAGTTTGTGCCTACATCTAATTGCACACTGGAAGAACGTGGTTCAAATCAAGTGTCTGTAATCAGCATGGAAGATAAAAGATGATTGTTTTGTTAGCATGTTCCCTTGCTGGAAACCTACTTCCACCACAATTGTTGTTCGCTGGAAAAACAACAAATTGTCATCCAAAGTTTACATTTCCTGCGGACTGGGACGTGTGGCACACCGATTCGCACTGGAGTAATACTGACACAATTATTCGATACAGAAAGAATATTCTTGTACCGTATTACAACAAGCAGATGAGCTTCTCGGGCTAGTTCCAGAACAACCTGGTGTAGCATTCTTTGATGTTTCCAAGGCACACCCAAATCCTCTTTTTCTGACTGAACTAGAGAACAGGAATATTATTTCAGTTTTTGTGCCCACTTCCTGCACAGGAGAGCTCCAACCTTTGGACTTAACTGTAAATGGCGAGTTCAAGTGTTTGTTCAGGAATGAGTTTATTGAGTGGTATTCTAATGAGCGTCAATTTCTAGAGGAAAAAGAATCTGTGGACTTAACGTATATCACGACTAAAACTGATTGACGCTTCTTGGCTTCTGCGTGTATTTAACGGTATTGAAGCCAAACATGAGATAATTTTGAATGGCTTCAAAGAAGCTGGTATAAATAGTATTCTAAGTGAATGAGCTGCCATCTGTTAATTTTATTGTTTTATATTCGAGAAATATAGTTGTATAATATTCAAAAAATAGTTATAAGAAAGAACGTTGTCAAGAAAAGCTTGTAAGTGTGCAATAAATCATTAAATTTTGGGTAAGCGAAAAATTTCTGATTTTTTTATTATTATTTGAGGCGGGAAAAAAAAGTATTTTGCGAGGCTTAAATTTTCGCGATTACAACGGGCTCGCAAGAATCGCGAAAATAAGGGCCTTTACAGTATTTAAATGTTTTATGAAAAATTAGTTTCTGACATTGTGAAACTGAACTTCTTTTGAATTGGAATTTGGTTTGCTATAAGTTGTATACACAGGTAAATTTCAGCGTACTTAGAAGTACTATGCAAGTTTGAATGATAAGCAATTCATTGTTTTAGTACTATCTTTACTTACATATTTCTCCCTTTTTCCTACTAATTTTACTGCTTTAAAACGAGAAGGGGAAAATACATGGTGGATATTATTTCTGATGAGATGACTTAAATGAGGAATATTAAAAAGCACACTAATTTTATTATATTATGTATTTCAATGAGCTTATCAGTTTAAATATTTTAACTTATACAGAATACTTTCCTATTTGTTCCTGCAAATTACATTGTCACCACTAATCACAAGGATAATTTCTGGATCATATGCTGAAAAAAATTTTTTGGGGGGGGGGAGTATATGACATGCGATGGAGTGGGCACCACCCTTTTACAAATGCGGTTAATCGATATAGCACCACGTCCACCTTTATTTAGATAACCATATGTAGTTATTGTGCATAAAGACATAAATGTACACACAAATTTGGTACTTAATACAGTGTTAAAGCTACAGCTATTTTGCGGTGTTGGTAGTTGGTGCTAGATACTGAATTACTATTCGTCTAAATGGCTGACTAAGTATGGCACAGGTATGTGCCAAGGTCGGCCAGTTTATCCATTAAAAGCCCTATTTTTCCCACCAAGTGCCTCTGTTTTATCAAAAACTTACAGAAGGCTTGTTGATTGGTCGACCGAAGGTTGATGTGTAACCCTTCTGTAAGGGAATAGGAGATCAGGTAAATCTCCGGAGAGCCAGTCTGCCCACAGGCATGCTGGCTAGTGTGACTTATTCCCTGTTTGTTAAAGTACTTGGGAAATGGTTCGTGACCCGTGAAGTATCTAACCAATTGCATGTTTGCAAAATTTTTGGTTGTGTCCACATGCTGACGTAATAATAAGTCTGTCGGCCGGTATCGCTGTTATCCCATGTCTTCTGCCATTTTCCGATTGCCTTTAAGCGTTGTGTTCTTTTCAGGTAAGATATTGGCTATGGGATGTTGATTTGTTGAGTTGTTGGTTCTGTGGCAGCTTCTTTGGCTAGATGGTCAGCCAACTCATTGCCGTGGTGGCCGCATGACTTTCGATCCATTCAAGTCTTGGAGTTGGAATTTTTTCGCAGATCTTCCTGTATTCCCTGAATAATATCGGAGGGGTGGTCAGGGTTTCCTATTGCGTATAGGGAAGAAAGACTGTCTGTCTTTATTGTAGCGTTGCAGGAGTGGTGGGATTGCAGGTAGCGGATTGCTTGCACAATTGCCACTGCTTCTCCCTGAAAAACGTAATTAAATTGCTTTATTTGACCCTTCCATTGACCACATAGGCACTTTTTCATCTATCTTCAATGCATCCATGAAGATGGTAAGCTGTGCTGGACGGTGGGCCGTAGTGGGATTGGTAGTTATGCTTATTCCAGTGCCTTTGACTGCTGGATGGATTTTCAGAGGGCAGCATTTAGCATAGTCCTCTGGATTAAAATATTCTTCCTCAAAGGTGACAGGTCTTTTAAGCTGCAGAACGATTGGTCTTGTGGCCTCCTCTTTGACATGGATGTTTAGGGAAAGGAGGTCAGCGAGCATGTTGATCGCGTCTGAAGACGTCGTGCGGTAGGCTCTAGTGATACCCAATGCAAAAGGTTCTTTGAATGGTAAAAATTTTCCTGCTTTGCATTGGGTGAGCCCATACTGCTGCTGCATAAGTGACTATCCTTTCCACCACTGTGTTAAAGAGGGCCTTCTAAATATTGAGGCCCCATTTGTGGCCATGAAATAATCGCATTTGCTTCGCTATTGTCACTGTTCTAATTTTGATGTCCTGGATGTGTGGTATCCAGGTCATCTTGTGGTCGAACGTAAGGCCCAGATATTTTAGTTGATTGACTATTTGTATCCTCTGATTGTTGATCTTAATGGTTGGTCTTCTTGCAAGAGAACCTCCCTTTTTAGGTATTAATAACACTTTGGATTTCTGCTCTGCAATTTTCAGTTTAAGGTTGTTACATAGGGCATAGAATTGTTGGCACACTTCGTTACAGTGGGTCTGTAATTCTTCTCGGGTTCGACCTTTCACTATTAGCGCTGCGTCGTCTGCGTAGGCGTAGATCTTTGTGTGCGCTGGCCATGTAGCTGTTAGAACTTCGTTGAAAGTTAGATTCCACAGGTGTGGACCAGCGCACGACCCTTGCGGACAGCCTCTCGTCTGCTCCTGTTCTATTATGCCTATGTTGTGAACTGCTAGTAGTCTCTATCCTGTAGATAGTTGCTTAGCATCTTATACAGGTTGCTCGGACATTTTGCCTTCCGCAGAGCCTGTTTGATAGCCGGCCACCATAATGTATCAAAAGCGTTTTTGAGATCTATGCTTATCATGGCAGTATGGTGGCCGCTATGTCGATTCTCTAAAATTGCTTCTCTAATGTCGAAGAGTAGGTGGACTGTAGAAGTGCCCGTCCTAAACCCCGTATTGTCTCGGAGCTTAAGAATCCTTGCGTGTGTAAATGGTACCGTAGCCTGTTCATGATAATCCTTTCTAGTACCTTACCCATTGCCGATAAGAGACAGATAGGACGAAAGGATGTGGCCTCGGCTGGGTTCCGGTTCTTTTTCAGAAATAAAATAACTTGCCCTATCTTGTATGGTTTTGGGAATATACCTGCTGCCAGAAGCTTGTTGAAATAGTCAACAAAGAATTTAGGGTGAGTTTTGATCGTTGCTTTGGTGATAGCATAGTCCATCCCATCGGGCCCAGGGGCTTTCTTGCGCGGCACTTTTTGAGTTCATTAATTGTAATATCCGGGTCTGTTGGGGTGTCCAGTGTGGTTGTTACTGTCCTGAGAAGAGCTTGTTCTGTTGTGTCCTGCTGTACATCATCTTTGCAGAAAACTGCGTTTAGGAGCGTACGTAGGGTTTCTGCCGTGTACTCCTGACTGTTGGTGATTGAGAGAGGGATCTGTAGCTGCGAAGGTTTAAAAATTTTACCGGTAGCTATTTTATTTTGTGGTGAATACCATACGTCTTTTTTGCTTGGGTGCAGAATTCCCTCCAGGAAGTAATCTTAGCCTGAATAATCATCTTTTTGTACCGCGCCCGCTCCCGTTGAAATATGGTGAGGGTGTTGGACTCTATCTCCAACCGTCTTTCGCTTTTGAGTTTTCTTCGCAGTGCTCTGCACTTTCGTTGCTGTATTCTGAGCGCACTCGACCACCAGTGAATGCCTTGGAGTCTCTTAGGTTTTCTAAGAGGGAGATTTTCATTACATATGGCTTGCATTGTTTCTTGTAATGTTACGGAGAAGTCTTCTAAGTCTGCTGACGTGTTAGCTAGTTGGAGCGAAGGTTCGAGGCGCATTAGCTGCACTTTAATTTTCTTCGTAAATGTTGTTAATTTTCGGCCAGGAAGGTTATAGCGTTTGATCTTGGACACGGAGGTGGTCTGCGATATAGAGAAGGTAATGAACTTGTGATCACTGAGGCTCTCTTCCTCTTCGACTTTCCAGTCCTGCAAAAGAGGTGCTACGTGCAGAGTGGTCAGAGTGATGTCTGGCCATCCCTGTGCAAAGACCCTGTCGAAGGATGGTGGTGCATCATCTGCTATTCTGGACTATTAGATTACATGAGGATATGAAGTCCTCTCTTTCCCTTTCGGGTCTGTAGTTCGATATCCCCAGGCCGTATTATGTGAATTGAAATCGCCTGCAATGATCATATTTGGGATTTAAAATCGATGCATGACACTTTGGATGAATCTTGTCGTCGGGCCAATATCCGCTGTTGGAGGAGAATAGATCGACGCTAAGATAACAGAGAAGGAATGTACTTCTACGAGCACTGCTACATGATCTTGATCGAGTGAGATAGATGTTGGAGACCAGTCTGGATTACAGCTTATTATTATAGCTCTTGGTGGATGGTCGTGATTGGAACTTTGAAATACTGTCCATTGCAATGGAAAACCTGCTGCCGCGCCATCGCGGGTATATGGCTCTTGACCTATGATAAAGTCTATTTTATTATCAATTGCGAATTGAACTGTCTGAGCGACCGCAGCCCTGGCTCGCTGCATATTGATTTGTAAAAATCTGATGGGTTCTTCGTTTGAGTTAAACACTGTATTTATCTGAACGTTTTGTGCCTGTTGACTTTCGCAATTACGTGGTGTGTTGTTGTTATTAATATTGGGTGATGCTGCGGATGTAGGCAGCTGCTCGCTGGTATTCTGCGCATTCAGTTGCGTAGACTGGGTGGCTACAGTCGTGCATGGTTCCATGTCTATCGTTTGCGTCACGGCAGTTAATACATTCTGGTACTCTGCTTTGCAGTTTTTGACATTGTGCGGTCCGGCGCAGTAGGCACAGAAGTTCTTCTTGCATGTGCATTTATTCTGGGTATGTCCGAGCTGCTGGCACTTGTAGCAGCGACGGATGCCCAGGTACTCTGTGATTGCGTGTGCGTGCCAGCCTGTGAAAATTCGTCTTGCCCTAAGAACTGCCGGGAAGGATGGACGGTTCGCACTCCAGGACCCATTTGACTTGCTTTGGGTTCCGTTCTGAGTCTAAAGAGCGCTTTGATGTCTTTGGATGGGATTCTTGCTGTTGCAGCGATTTCCTCGATGAGTTCCTCAGGCATGATGTTGTCTGGGATGTTATGAACTGTGCAGCATGGATTTCTTCTTTCCCATCTTTGCAGATCAATCTCCAGATTGGCATTTTGTAATTTCTCAGGAGGATAAGAAGGTAAATATGGTTTACACTGAAAAACCTGGCATTTTGTAATTTCTCAGGAGGATAAGAAGGTAAATATGGTTTACACTGAAAAACTAAAATAATATGACCACCTACTCAGTTAGCCCGCAAAACATTATCAACTCACCTTCGCATGGATGCCACAAGTTCTTGATAGATGACCGCAAACCTCTAGAGACAGGTCTCCAGTCTAAGCAGCAGTCATACAAAGTCGAGATATTCTAACATAATGGTGTTTGAGCTCTGAGCTGCCGCTCCATGATATCCCAAATGTGCTGTATTCGGTTAAGGTCTGGTGAGTTAGGTGGCCAGGGTATTAATTGGAATTCATCCTTATGCTTCTCCAACCACTCCAACTCAATTTGAGTGTGACATGAGACATTATCCTGCTGGAAGATTCTATTTCCAGTTAGGAAGACGGATGCCATATGAGGGTGCAACTGATCCACAATTCTGTTCAAATAGTCTACAGCTTTCATAGTCTGTTCTGTTCTACCACAACTAAGGGTAACAGAGCTGCCCATGTTAACATTCCCCCAAAGCATAATACCACTGCCACCAGCCTGTGTATGACCCGGTGTATGGGGTAAAAGCAACTGTTCGCCTGGAAGACAGCATACCCTGAAATGACCATTGACATGATGAATGAGAAATCATGATTCCTCTGGCGAGCCAACTGTCTTCCACTTATCTGTGGTCCAGTCTCGATATTCCAGGGCCCACTGTAGGCACAGTTGACAATGACAGTTGGTCAACAGAGGCACATGAGTGGGACGTCTGCTGTTCAGTCTTATATCCGACAGTTTCATCTGAAGTGTGTATTCCGAAACACTTGCACTTGGACCTGCATTGTATTGGGCTGTCAGCTGAGGCAGTGTTTGGTGCTGATTTTGCTCTGCCAAGCGAGAAAGTTTCTGATGGCCTTTTTCTTTTGATGACACATGGATGCCTAACACCTTGATGTCTAGTGCTGCTTTCACCATCATTTATCTACTTTGCGTAAATACTAACAATGGTAGATCGTGAACAACCTACCAGTCATGCAGTTTTGGAGATAGTCATTCCAAGACTTTGGGCCATTACAATCTGCCATTTATTAAATTTGCTTGATCAGCAGCATTTCTCATCATTCGTCAAAGTAAGTGCAAGAATGATTCCTTATTTTCTCCAGCAGCGGTTAAATACCATTCCCACTTCACATATTCTCCACATCATCCAGATGAGTTCATTGAAAAAACATGGGGATGGTGATAATGTTTTAGCTTGTCAGTTATTTTGCTGCAGCAGTATTTTGAAATTTTTTATATCATCATCAGTTTAATGCTATTAATGTAGAATGATGTATAATATTACTTTAATGATATTCTTTGAACAGGTGAACTCACCTACATATGCTGTTGATTATTGTAATGTAACACGCACATCAGGATAGTTATGAATCTGAATGCAAAATAGGATGTGTATTAATACTTTGCATTATATTAATAACCACAGCATGCAGTAATGGCTTTTAACATGTTCACTGGTAACATGACCTAATAGCCAATTACGTGACAGCACGGTGTGAGGTTACTTCTGGTGAAGTTTTGGATACCTATTGACAGCCTGTTTATGTCATAGGACTACTTTGTTGTCAGGTGGGCTGGCTGACCCTTTAGCTTACCTGCCCTGGAAGTGAATCTGTTTGTTAAGCAGAAAAGTGCTGTTAGTTTGATGTAGGTCCTTCTTCTACAGAAGCAAAATTTAACTGAAGTTACTTTTTTTTGCCTAATTTAAAATTTTGCATTGCCATGTTTCTTGTCCAATTTGAACTATGATTGACAATGTGAAATAGGATTGCTTTAATGAAGACATGTGACAAGGCTTCTTAAATTGCTTTTTTAGTGGTCCCAGTGGAACAGCTACTGTTGAGAGATGTTGTAGAACCATTAGATTTATTTTGGAGCAAGAAATGTGAAAAATCAGATATTTTGTGTTCAAACCCAAGTTCAACTGCCAGTATTCAGTGGGTTTAACTACTTGGTCACTGGTAACGCCGATCTCACTTGAACTCAGCTAAAATCCTCTGGATTAAATTTTTCTGCTTTGAAAGCACTTGTAGAGACTAATTAGAGTTATTTCAATGCAGGAAGTATGGAAAATATGCAATGCTGTTGCTAGGATTCAAATTCTGAACCTCCCAATGACTAGGTGACATGCTTCTAATCCCAACACGAAGTTATGTGGTAAGGAAGGTGAAAATTTTTCACATCTTTTTTTCTCCACCAGTTTAATTGTGACTATGGAGGAGGGAACCTAGTCATCAAATACTGATGAAGACAAGTATTTATGTTAGGGTTCCATATGTAGAGTCATTAGGTTTATTATAGGGAAGGAAGCATGAAAAATCAGCAATATTCTTACTGGGATTCGAGGTCTGGACATTCTAATAGTTAGCCAAACATGCTTCCATGTGTATCTCGAAGGCATGCAGCAAGGAAGGAGAAAATTCCTTACAATGTGCTTTATGTTATTTAGTCAACTTTTCAACTGAATGGCATGGTCTACCTTTAAATTTATTCGCAGTAGGTCACCTGCTTTGAACTTACCATCTTAATTTTACAAGATTCCTTTTTGAATGAATAAAGAAAAGTTAGTTTTATAATTTGCATCATAAAAAATTAAGTATGAATCCCCCTCTTTTTTTCTTATAAATTGTCTATATATTATGTTAGTGATTTTTGTTCAATATGTCAAATTTTCTATAATTATCTTCTTTGCTTGAATTATAAAGATGCTTTTAGTGCAGAACGATTTTCATAGTATGACATATATTCATCATTACTGTCTTGTTTATAAATAGTTTTTGCTAATCTATTTATATTTGGGAATCTGGTTTTATAGCTAACAACTCTGGAGACGCAAGCAGACCCACATCTGATAAAAATGGACAAACTATGAATTTCATCCTTCCTTTTGAAGTGAGTTACATAGTTTTATATTAATGTAGTTCAAGTTAATATGTAGGGTAAAAAATACTACACAATTAAATATCTCTTGCATGATTGGTCATAGATCTACAATTTCATGTTAAATATATTAAATAAGATTATTTTTTCAGATTGTGAGAGTTGTGAACCATCTGGTATACTTTGTAATAAATATTTACAAACTGTGCATATTTATTTATAGCATATAAGAAAAAAATGAAATAAAAAAAAAAAAAAACATTGTAACCAAATTGTGCAGACAAAATTATCTGAGGTAGCATTAACTGAAATTTTGAGTGGGGGATTTTGCATTACATTGTAAGCTGTCCTGAAGGGAGTTGCATTGTGACTTGGAAATGTAAATTTTTAAAGACATCTATTTGTTTAAGAAGAGAGATATTTTTAAAAGTGTCATCATTTATATTTTTAAAGATAACTTTTGTATCAGGAAGATATAGCACAGTTTACAAATATATGTTTGTAGAAATGCTGAATTTAAAAAAAAAAAAAAAAAAAAAAAAAAAAAAATGCAATAAAGTTTATGTCTTCTACCCCTGAAACTGATGTTTTGTTCATTTCTGTATATCAGGGGAAGTTATATAATACCAAATCTTCTTTCAAGACTAGTTTTATATGTTATTGTTTTTTTTTTTAATTAGGCTTGGTGATTAGAAACAGGCATTTCAACTTTTGTAGTTGTACTAGAAATTGTCATGTGACTTAAATAATCATAATCAGAAAGCTTAATATTTTCATTTTTTAAACTGGAACCTGGATCCAGTTGCTAAAAGGCATTTTAAGGTCGCGCCTTTTTTCTGCCCCCCCCCAATTTCGCAAGGAAAGAAATTTTTACTCTGTTTTCTTGAAAAATTTATCTGTAATGCATAATTAAATTTGATTTCCTTGCTTTTAATAACCAGACATGAATTTCTTACCGCTTACTGAAGGGGAAAAATAATCAAAAATAAATTAATGGAGTTGCTTTTCTTTCCCACCTTAGGTTTAATATATTTTTTTTAACTTAAAAATGCAGTAGATAATATAGCTATTGTGGATGATAGAAACAAATTAATATAATCATCAAAATAATTTATTAAATAAAACCAGGTAGAATCGATTAAAATCAATAAAAAACAAAATTCCTGATGAAGCAAAAATTGAGGAAGTGCAGAACTGAGTATTTAAATATGATGCCAAAGGACACATACCAGTGTGTAATCAAAATTTCCTCCACTCATCTATTCAGAAATTATCAGCAATCATATTGGCCTGACAAACGAGTAGCAAAAAAAAAAAAAAAAAAAACTATACATAAATTATAATTATTATAAGCATCTACACCATTACTATAATTAATAAACAGTATTTATAATGTTAATGTATTATTTTTTACATAGTTTTGAGTCAAAAACATTATTTATGTTTAGAATAATTATTTATATTTATAAATGTATGTTTCATGTTTTTTTGTCATTATGCTGCTTATTTATGAAAAAATTTGATCTGGACACTATATGACTTCCTTGCATGGCCTAATAAATTATACACATTTTTTTCTGCACTTTTTTCTGCACATTTTTAAACTTATTTTCTCAAATTTCATTAAAGATAGCAACTTGGCCAATCAGCAGGGAGACAAAATTATCGATGCACAAAACGTAAACGTTAACTTTTGGTCCCAGTATGAAAAAGATATTGAAGTTGGTGCACCAGCTGACTTATTTCACTATTCTACTAAGAGTTTCAAATGTAAGCAAATTGCTGTCTTGTTAAGCTTAACCACTTAAACTTGTAAATTGTTGATAATTCTACAACTACATGCAGGTAAATTAAAGGCATAAAAAAACTTATGCGGAACAGAGGAACAACATAAGTCAACCACTTTTAAAGACAAAAATGCACAATTTACCATCATATACGAATAAATATATTGAGCTGATTGAGCTGGGTAACAGGGTGGGAATAATATGTGCATGTTTTGTGTTCCCGATTGCAACAAGAAAGGGAAGTGCACAACTACCTGTTATAACAATCTCCATATACAAAATTTCAACGCTCTACGGTTACTCATTTTCAAATTATGTGAGATACATGTGTACATACAGACATCATGAGAAAATCTTTTCTGAATCCATTTTACAATCTGTTTTGGGAAAAAAGAGCCTTTATTCTGTCTGTATGTACAGATATAATGGAAAAAAATCATTCAAATGGATTTGAGAACCGTTAAAATGGCTGTTTTCATTGAAATATGATACCCAAAATTTTTCATGATTACAGTGCTTTCTTTACTGTGTACAAGGAAGTTAAAATAATTGAAACTAATTTTCAAATTTTTATCTTATGATTATTTTTTATCTCTCCAAAAATTTTATAATTTTCTCAAAATTTATAATTTTTTGACTAATTTGAAATTAAAGATTTTTACAGTTAAATAAAATTATTTCTGTATATTTTATGAAAAAAACTTCTCAAATATTATTCTAGAGGTCACCATACAACAGTTTTGATATGTCATGATAGTTTTAAATATTTATTATTTCCTTGTACATATTGCAATCATGAAAAATTCTGAGTATCATATTTCAATGAAAATATCCATTTTGACCACTATTGATGCAATTTAACGATGTTTTTGCTTGACATCTGTACGTAAGGACAAAATAAAGGACTCTTTTCCCAAAATGAATTATAAAGCTGATTTAAAATAGATTCAGAAGAGTTTTTTTGTGGCATCTGTATGTATGTGTGTATGTATATTGTATAACTCAAGAACAAGTTGCCTCAGAGCATTGAAATTTTGTATATAGGACTACTATAATATGTTGTTGTGCACCTCCATTTTTGTTTGCAATCAGCCGCTCCAAAAGTATATAAATATATATATATCTACTGTGTCACTTGGCTCATTGAGCTCAGTTGTAATTATTCTTATATATTGGTAAATTGCACATTTTTTGCACATTGTTTGGAAAGGTCAGAAATGATTTAATTATGTTGTTCTTACTTTCCGGTTAAAGTTTGTATGCCTTTAGTTAGTCTCCATGCAGTAGTTGTAGAATTATCTACAATTTAAAAGTTGATTAAGTGCAGCTAAGCCTAATTTTTGTTTACTATAGCAGCCATATTTGTTTACATTTGAAACGTAGCAGAATAGTGGATTTGTTGCCAATATTGAGAAACTAAGTTTTGCATCAACAAAGATTATGTCTTCTTTAATATTGTGAATTAAATCATGTTTAATCCATTCTGGAATTATCATTCAAGTTATTAAATTAACATACAATTGACTGCGTACAATCGACAACAATTAAGTCATTTTCTACATTTTTTCAGTGTATTTTGCTAAGTGAAACCCAAGTAACTTTCAGTTTGTGCACCGAAAAATCTGCTTCCTTCCCCGGGCCGAATTGCCTGTTTTTGTGGGAAACTCAATTTAATTGTAAAAATTGTTCTTTAAATTGTTTTACTCATTATGTTTTATATTTTCTCTTTTTTCATTTTTAAAAGATATTTGAAGTTTCATATATTTCTGCCTCCTTGTGAAGTGAGAACTGAATTAATTGAATGAGAAATGTATATCTAATGAAGTTCGAGGAAATAAGTCTGAACAAAATGCAGGAAAAAATGTGTATATTTTAATATTCCATACAAGGAAGTCATGTGGTGTACACATCAGATTTTTTAATTTGTTGTATATGTGTATTATTGAGTCAAAATGTTTTAGAATATTATTGTATGTATATCTTCTTACCCTTATTGAAACCCTTATTGAAAAAAAAAAGGTAAACTGTTTACCCTTATTGAAAAAAAAGGTAAACTTTTGTCCTTATCACTTATCATAACCTGTTTTCCCCTCCTTCTATTCCTTAAATTTATATTTAATTCCACACTTAATTTAGTGATTGGAAGCAAATGTTATATATGATTTTGTTGTTTTTAGAAAGATTGAATGCTTATGAATTTTACTCTAAGCTATTACTCTTATAAATTTACATAAATGTTGATTTTGTGATTGAGTGCTTCTGTTGTGTTATAAGTGCTTTAACATATATGAATACCTTTGTTGTTTAATTAATAAAATAGCTGATATCAGATTTTATATATTGTTGCTTTTTCAACGAGCAGATGTAATTTTTGATCAGATTTTATTTATTTACTTTTAAGTTTTAATTTAACTTATCTCCAAAGGTGTAGTTTTATCAGTTAGTAATAGTATATTGTATTTATTTATTTTAAGTATCTTCTAAATTGTTACTGAATGTGAAGCTATCAAAAGAAGAGTCCCCCTCCCTTCATTTTAGATTATCGAGTGAGGGAAAATCTTCCATCTTATTTTTACAGTTCATGCCTTGAAAACTGAGAATGTAAAAAGATCTACTTGGGCATTTTTACTACTTTAATTTTCACTACTTTTACTTAGTCTACTTTCATTTGTTGTTACTCTAACTACTCTTCAAATTTTATATAAGGATATTCAACTGTTGGTTAGACGTTATGGGTAAAGAATTACTGTCGTAATTTAATAAAATCCTCTCATTAGAGGTATTTTTTTTAATAGAGGCAAGGAAAAGCGTACCAATTTGAAGTTTAAAACTAGACAAATTCATCACTAAATCAAAGTCTAATTTTTTGAAAAAAACTGATGCCAGTCTCTTTTTTTCAAACGTAAAAATATTCTGTGCCATGTTGCTAAAGTAAAATCACATAAATAGGCAAGATAGGAATGTAGGAGAGAGCGCAACAATAACAGTACAGTTTATTGAAAAAAAAGTGAAATAAGACTGTATGTATAAATATGGTTTGGAAAGGTCAGCTTTTGTATTGCAATGATTAATATAGTTTGTAGGTTTGAATGGAAGAGGAAGCTTTGAAAAAATTTTACTTGCTGTCTGGAGAAGTTTTTTAGTGGCTTTTAACAAACAAATGAACAAAAAAAAAAGTTAAAGCAAGTGCATTATAATATACTTTCTTTCTTTCTGACATTCTTATGTTCTTTCTTGTAAAATTATAAAGATTATTATGATTGATTTTAATGATATGAAGGATAGTTGTTCAAAATTTTATAATGAAAAGAGGGTAAAAAAATAAAGATCTGAAGTAATTGAATTCATAAATAAAAATAGATTTTAGCAAATATTAAGAGCAGAAAAACTTAAGAAAGAATCTGTCTCTTATCTATCTATGTGTCATGATTTAGCATGAATAGGAGAAGAAACAGGCAGAAATTTGTGATGCTGTATAGTGTTTAAACTTATTACACTTATTGAATCTAAAAAGAAAACTGATGATTAATTTCAAAGAACTTAATATTATTCATAAAATTGTATATAATAAGTTATTTATTAAATCATCTGTAAAACTGTGGACATGAACTACCAAATGAGAAAACCAAGCAGACGTTTTGAAATAACAGACAGAAAAGGATTAGTTTTTTTTTTTTTTTTTTTTTTTTTTCTTTTTGATTATTTGATCTCAAACTTGCATTAAATATAAGGAAGTGCTAGTATAATGTGTTATGATTAAATGTATGGTGTTGTAATAATAATTATGTTATGCATTAACAGATATCAGCCTGATTTAGAGATTAGTTTTCCAGTATGATTGTAGAAAAGTGAAATTTTTAAAATCAGACTTGATAAGTGGGGATATAGCGTTGTTTGTGAAATTATTATCTAATTAAAATTAATTATTTTTAGTGTGGATATTGTTGGAAAGTAATGCAGCCAGTATTGGGATTAAATATTTGGTTTAATGCTTATGAAATTATTTTTAAATTTTAAACAATAGCCTGTAATTTTTTATATGAATTTTAGAAAGGGCATAGTATTTAGTACTGCTGATAGAAGGTGAAATTAGGTTTTTTAAGTGAGTTTGTAAAATATGATATAACTTAATAATGATCTTAACTTTAGAAAATTCAGAAGCTGGAAAATCTTTTTTTCCTGCTAAGTGGGAAAGCGGGAATAAGACAATTTAGGACTTTCATTTAAGAGTTTTGCATTTTCATCATAGTATATAATTTTGCTCATGAAAGCAATTTCATTATATTTATTAGTTTCAGAGATAATGGATATTTGAGAGAGAATTTTATGATTTTTTAAGATCATTATAACTGAACGTTATTTAAACATTTAACATTATTAATAATTATTGCATTAACCTTTTTGAGTGTTACTAGATTACATTATTTCTTTTGACTTTTCTAAAGTTATGATAAAATGATCCCTTTTTTTTGTTAAATAAACAGTGATTTGGAAATTGGATAATTTAAGAAGTTTATGTAAAGCTAGATTTATCTTTTAATATGTTCTTAAGCAGAATATTTGGTAATTTTTAATGAGAATATTAAGGGGCTAAATTCAAAATGGAATAGTTGCCAAATTCATAAAATTATTTATTACTAATTTATGCATATATTTCTTAGAATTTTTGTTAGTTTTAATTTTTTTACTTTTGTAGTTTTTTATTAGTGTAAAATCAATCAGCTATTCTAACATGAATGACAATTTGCATTTTAAAAGTATTGTTAAAATTTTACTGTGTCTCAGAATTTTTTTTTTAATATAAAATTTTAGTTCTTTAGCATTTCTGTTGCATCTAATGTTCTCATTTCATTTCCCTCCTCTTATTTCTCTAGAAAAATAGTCCTTTGTTAATGAAGTCTTCTGTACCAAATGTTTCTGGGGATAAAGTTCATGTATCAGCACATTCTATGAAGGAATTAACACTTAATAAAAATACCCTGTCGTCAGTATTTAGTCAGCCATTGTGTTCTTTATCATCGAATACTTCTGTAATGTCAGTTGTTCAAAGCAGTATATCTGACATTTCTAAAAGTAAAGAAAATGTACCTTCAGTTCAGTCCAAGCCAGTATTTGGAAAGCCTCTTGCAGCACCTCCATCTCTCTTATTTTCTGCTTCTTCATCAATTCCCAGTTCTGATAAAATTGTAGAAGACACTGCAGCTTCAACTTCTAAATCTGCATCAACAACAGTTTTAACTAGTTCACTACAGAATATTCCACCCAAAACTACTAGTTCAACCACTTCATTGAGTTCTGATACGAAGTTTGTTCAAGGTTTATCTGCATTCCATGTTAAGGACAAATCTCCATCTACTCAAAAATCAGTTTTGCCTAACTTTTTCTCTAGTCCGACTGCAGAAAGTAGCAAACCTGAAGCAACTGTTGGACAAGTATTTGGCAGTGGTTCATTTTTCCCTACCTCTGGAGTTAAAAATTCCTCTTTCTTTAGTATTTCTAAATCAAACTCTTTCTTGACTCAAGGAAATACTTCTAAAGAACAGCCATCTTTGCAATCAAAAATTGATTCTGGTGGGGTATCCCTGCAAGTTCAAAAGTCTTCTGGGACTGTATTCTCAGAAACCTTGGCTCAGACTGGTGGTCAAATTTTAGGTTCTACGGAATCTTCAGGCATTTCAGTAGTAAATTCTGCGGAAGAAATTTCAAATTTGAAAACTGAAATGACTCAATCTGTTAGTGTGGCATCTGTAATTACTTCTGTAAGTACTGAGAGCAACATAACAACTTCTGGAACTCTAGGAATAAACTACAGTACTTTTCCAAGTAATATAGTACAGACAGTAGCTTCTTCATCAGCTGCTTTTCCGGAAAAAAATAGCAATTCATCTGCACCTTTGTTTTCACAGCCTTCAGTCACGGAAGGTGGCATTTCATCAACAAGTCTCACAACTGTTGTATTTTCTCCAGTTAGTTCTAGCATACCATCGCTATTGTCTCAAGCAAACTCTACTTCTGTGCTCTGTCAAACTTCAAGTCTTTCTTCTGTTACTACTCTCTTTGCCCAGACAACTTCACCGACAACTGTACCAGAAGCTGCATCACCCACAGCCACATCAGTTGTTTCTGCAGCCCAACCAGCTTTCATTCAACCAATTATAACTTCTAGCTCTACAGAATTTGAATTAAAATCTACTACAGCTTCCCCAACAGTTTTTACTGACGTTCCCAGTACTGCATCTGGAACACAACTTTTTGAAAAGACTACCGAATCGACCTCTATTTTCAGTCAGACAACTGTGGCAAATACTGCATTTGGTAATCCTGATAATACTACTACACCTTCTGTATTTGGGCAAAAAGCTGAGAATACACCATCTTTTTTTGGTCAGACTGCTGCCACTCAGTCTTCATTTTTTGCTAAAGCTGCAGATGCTCCTGCCTTTGGTCAGAGTTCTATACTTCAAAACTCCCCTTTTGGTCAGTCAACAGGTTCTTTTACCCAAGGGGCTGGAACATTTTTCTCACAACCTGCTGGAGGACAACCACCTGTATTTGCTAGTACCACAACTGCAGCAAGTACAGGATTCGGCAATTTATCAGCTGCTTCATCTGGATTTTCTTTTGGAAAATCCTCATTTGGACAGTCTGCCGGGTAAGCCATTACTATATTTTAATCGTGATTTTTATTTTAAATACTAATCTTTTCTTTGCCTTCAATATAGATAACTTTCTGATATGTTTAAAATATCTGGTAGTAATCTATTTTATGGTCATGTGGAATCTTGTATATATTGTGCTTATGAGTATGTTTGCTCTTAATTCCATTCTGAGTTTTAATTTCTGATAGTTTTCAAAATGTATCAGTGGTGCATTAAAAACTATAAAAATGGTGGAAATGTGAAATTAGTATTATGTGATATACCAAAAAATTCAAAATCATTGAAATGTTATGAATGGTTTTTGCTGCACTCTATATATTTATAAACATACTTCTTATGCATTGTTTTAATAAACAGAAAACTTAAATTGTGTTTAAATGCATTTAATGTTATTCATGTTTATATCTTTTAGGTTTATAGAGAAGTGAAATAAATCAGAATATTCTTCTGAATCAAAATCTGTAATTCATAATTGTATGTTATTCTATCAAGGATTGTATTTTCATATTAAAAACCTCTAATTTAAGTTTAAGAAACTGCTTTGTTTTGGGGGGGGGTCAATACAGAATTAGCAGTATATATTTCAAAAAGTACTGAACAAAGGAGATTTCAAATTTCTGTAATGATGCACATAAGAAATTATTGTCCCCCCTTTTTTTAGTACCTACCAAATTTTTTTGGGGGGTTACTAATTATTGGGTATATTATTATTTTGACTGTGAAAGTTGGTTACTGTTCAGTGATGAAAGCTGGTGGAGATCCCACCAAACTTGGAGTAATCTTTTCTGTGGAATTCTTATGCGACAGATACCTCTTTATTTAATAAACAATCAACCCACTTTGTTTTCATGCTTCACAAAAAGGCTTTTGTTGATTTCTATTATTGTTAGGCCTTCCAATTTTACCAAAAGTTTTGTGTAAAACACTATAAGTACAAATAATTGTAAAAACCTTTTGTGTGGTGCATTAAAAATTCTTTTGGTAAAATATTTCTCGTTGGATAAGTAAATTTTTTTTTTAATACATTTGCAAGTTTCTGTATTTGATTCATCATCTTGAAAAAGAATAGTTTTAAAATTTATGTCATATGAAAAATTCATTGAAAGTTGAACTTGCTTTCTCTTTTCCTTTTTTTTAAACAATTTTTTCTTTCTTTCATTAAAGAATAAAATTTAAGCTAAAGCTTTATCTAAAGCTTAAGATGCTAAGTACTTTTGATAAATTTTTATCAAAGTTAAAATTATATATTTTGAGTTTTTTTATTAATGTTGAAAATCTAAATTCTATTCATAGATCTTTTGGATTAGCTAAAGCAGTATTTGGTCAAAATACTCAAACATTTGGGCAACCTGCATCATCTCAAAGGTTTGTATAATCTTTGTTTATAAATTATTGTATTATTGCAATTTCTGTTTATTTTGTTTGTGATTTAATGTATTGCTTAAGTAAGATTGTATTTTTTATCTTTTTACCTCCTACCAACCTATGTACGAGGAGGTAACGTAAGGGTACGTCTATGTAAGGGAGGTAACATTTTTGGTCCAAAATTCAATAGTCAATTTTCAGCGAATAAGCCAAAAGTAGGTCCTTACAACATATTTTTATTATTTTTATGATGGTGTCTGTGTTTCTGTATGTGTCTGATTATTTTGCATTATCCCCAATATCTTGTATTAAAATTCTGAAAAGTTTCATTTTTTTGCTTGTAATCTTTCTGCAGTTTTTCAAATAAAGGGTTTATTAGGTTTTGGTTAAAACTGGGGAATGGGAATGGAGGAATCCCACAAAGGCTGTTTATTCTATTCGGGACGTTGAGCCCAAGAAATGCATATGAACCTGATGGTTCTGCTAAATTGGGCTCTTGCTGTTTTTACTTCCCACCCATCTTTATACATAGAGAGAGGAGGTAATGCTTTTGATCCAAAAATTCAGTTAAACTGAGAAAAGACTGAAAAAGAAATGTTTGGCAACGCTTAACACTTTATTTGGAATTTTAAAGGTATGCTGCTTTTTAAAAACTTTGTTAAGCCATTGATTTGTGGATCCAAAACACTATTTGACCAGAGGATATACTATCGATGCAATGTTTTCAAATCAAAGTATGAGAATGGATGTATATATGAGCACATATAGTTATCATTGTTCATTGTATAGAAGAATAGAATAATAAAAGATGAGTACTGTTTATAATTAAAATTGGGCTATAAAGTTTATAAATAAGTTAGATTTTATTTACAAATGATCAACTGGAAGTGATAGTTTACTTAAAGCTTGTTGAAATTTCATGTTTTAATGTGTTGACTGCTCAACACAAGATAACTCGTATTAGCACTCTTCTTCAGGATGCCCAATATGAATTATCTCGTATTTTCTTGACTTGCCACTTTTGCACTGCTACGAGTTACTTACTCGCTTAGCGCTTGTTTTAGCTGTACCGAGGTGACAAGTTGAAGCATCTCTGTACGAATCGACTTGTAATGGGCTTCTGCGAAGAGCTTTGCCTAACAAAAGCTGACTACGAAATAATTCGTAGGACCCTTTTTTCTACAAAACACAACAAACAAACAAACAACTTTTTAATGATTGTTACGAATCATAATTAGTATTTTTAATAATATATGATTAAATTGATTTGGCTTCTCAGACCGGAATCCGAAAAGTGTCGTGGCAGTCAACATGCTAATGTAGAATCAGTGGGAGGACGTGTGCTGGCCACATCAGATTTTTTTAATTTAAAATTAAAATGATATTATTATAATAATAAAGCCTAATTTGTTGAAATTGTCTCTTTTTTGTTGCTTCATGAAAAGAAATAATATTTCATGAAATGCCTGATTACATTGTTTTCAGTATATTGTATTGATAAAGCTTCATAAAACTTCAGAATTCTATAAAACATTTTTTTCTCCACCACTGACTGGACAGCTTACATACTATTTTGCTTCAAGCTGTTATGTCCATGTAGTGAGAAGTTATCTTCTACCTAGCCAACCATAGCTCAAAGGCAGGACCGGAAGGCACAATCGAGCATTTATTTCTATGTATTAATGAAGTTATAGTTTTCAGTTTTATATATATTATGTAGAACTGAATCCTGTAGATACTGGAATTTTACAAATCTTTAAAACGGAATTTTACAGATATCTGCAGTGATGTTTTAATAGTTGTTGTTCCAGAAGGTGAAATTTGAAGCTGTGTCTTTATGTATGAATTTTGAACAGGACTTAGAACTGTGTAATTAGGTGTTACAATTAATACAGTATTGGTGTTTATAGTTTTTGCATTCATTAATATTTACAGTCTTTTCTATCTTGAAAGGTGTTACAACTCATCACAGTTTTCATTTATAAATTTAATTATCTGTATTGCTCTATTTAGAGCTTCATTGATAGCCTAGGTGCAATGTGCACCATTTTTGTTCACTTACTTGTTGATGGATTTTTACAGATGTAACCTTGCCATCATGTGATAGAAGTGTAGGTAGTGGCTGAGGTCACCCTTGATATCACAGCAGCACATGTCCATTTCTCTTTGGCCAAATCTGGGTAGATATGCAAGGTTAGGACAATGTATATAGCTGTGTAGCATAGCTGCAGTTAGTCTTGATTTTGGGGGAGACCTTCGGCAAATATTTATAGGAAAATATTTACACCTATATCCGTGTTGTCCCAATTTTCTTGTGATTCTGATTTGGCCAGAATATTGGTCTTGTTCTTGAGGTGAGAAACTGAATTTGGAATGTGTATGTGATTCATTCTAGGATTTGCTTTTGTGGCTTTTGCTAATTTATCCATGATGGATGTCATGTGTAATTGGTCATGTATAAATGGTGGATGTCATGTATAATTCTGTTTTGACTTCTGGTACTTGTTATTGCCGTAATACTAGAGAAAGTGTCTGAATTGATTACGGTTTGTGTTCGATGTGCTTGTATCCATTTGGCTGTTCACCTAATAGCCATCAACTTTGACTGAAATACAGAGTTAATAGGCTGTAATTTAGCACTTCAGTTGTATACTTTCTGATTATTTTGAATAACACAGAATGTGTAGACTGTGCGTATGTCCATTTTGGAGCCATCTATGTAGATATTTGTTACACAACATGCTCCTGTATTCATGGTGTAGGTCTCTGAAAATTGTGTAACTAGATGGATGTGCTGGTTATTGGTCTATTAGTCTGAGCTAAAAAAATGATTCTATGAGAGAACTGTATCTTTTCATAGGCTTAGCACTCTAGTATTGGTTGCCTTTTCTTTGAGTTTTATGTAGATAGCAAAATTCCAGCCAGGTTGAGCAAGGCCAGTTTTGGGAATTTTTTTTTTAACCTTTTATTTAACAGTGCTGCTTTTCTTTGGATTTTCAGAAACTTCTTTTTCATGGCGCTACTGATATTAAGGACCCAGGCCGATGCTGCATGACAAACTATAAGTTCAGTTACTGTTTCATACTTGTCTTTAGGAAACTGGGGCTGTCTTCCTAAGACTTTTAAATGAGCTGGTGTATATTAGTTACTGTTGATTATCAAGATTTTATTGCTGAGATATTCAATATGAAAGTACCAAGAAATTTTGTCATGTAAGGTAATGCCAAGCTATATTAAATTGTTGCGATTCTGGTATGAGAACTCTAAATTCTCATAACAGAGCTCAGTGTGAGAAAATTAGAGCCTCTGTGTGAGGGGACATGACTTTGTAAGCTGCAACTGACTTATCTAGTTGCATCTGGGGATTATATTCCTTGCTGCATTTTCCTAGAGATTTAAGGACCTTGTTTGTTATCATGTAATTGGTTCCTTGATTTCAAATTTGAAATAATAAGTCATCAGCAAAAGCTTGGGCTTTTATGTCTTGAGAAATTTTGTTGTTTAGTCACATTGCTAAGCCTTCTAATAAAGATTAAGAGTTGGTCACTGATTCTGAATTAGCACTTCTTGAACTTTTTTTAAACAGGACCCGTTTTTATAATCAAAGATTTTTTGTGACCCCAGGTATTTAAGTATAATGTAAAGATATAAAAAAATTCCCCTGTTTATAATTCACTTCTTTAGTAAACAATATACATATGAAAAGGAGTAGCTTTAAAGTTTATTTTGAGTATACAAAAGTTAATGAATGCAAATAAAATGAGATATATGTGCTTGATTTTGGCAGCATAAGAAATTAAATCTTGCAATATTTGACACTGTTGAACGAAAAGCATCTTCAGTGTTTTTTAGCTTTGAATGATATCTGGATTAAACAAGTATTAAAGCTGAAAAAGATGTTTCAAATTAAATATGTGATCAGTTAGCCAACATGGCAGATTGTGGTAGTAAAAGTTCTATGCAGCTGTGGATAATGAACTTCAAAAAAGTGGAATCAGCCATCATTTTGAAATGTAATATGGATCTGCAGATTCATGATGATGCAAAAAAAAAAGCTTTGGCTGAGATTAAAAGTTTGATTACAAGGTATTTTGAGCATTTAAAATCTATACTTTTGTTAAGCTTGTAAAGAAAGCTTATTCTGTCATGCAAATAAAATCTTATGCTAATGCTGTGGTGTCATCTGTTGACACAAATCAGACTGATTCAGATTGCTGTATTGTTGTGATTCTTCGAAACATAAAATTGGAATTGGCAATATTCGAACAGTCAATAAAGTAATAAATAAAGTAATAGTGAATTGTGCTTCGTGTTATGATAAAGAAAAATTGCTTTCTGCTTTGCAGGGAGACTCCAAATGTTTGGAATCCTTCTATTCCAAGGCGAAAATATCCTACGCTCTTATTTAAAAATAAATAGCATTAGTAATGATGAACTCTTAAGAATTATTGAAGAACAGAATCCTGAAATTAATGTTAGTGAAGAATATTAGAAAGATGTTAATGTTCGCTTACTGTAAAAAAGTTTGTTTCAACATGAGAAAAGTGTAGTTATTGAGATGCATTATTCTGCGTGTAAGTGTATATTAAATTTTCAGCATATTAACGTGATGTGGAATATGTGTAAAGCTGAAGATTTTATTGTTTTTAAGATCTTTTAAATGTTTAGGCTATCACAGAAGTCTTCATTCCAGAAATCCCTGGGCATGTTATTGCTGCTCTGGTGAGGATAAGAGTTCAGAATGTGATAAAAAAGAAGTACAAGTGTGTGTTAATTGTATAAGATTCAATTAAAAAAAAATGCAGCTAAGGAAGTTGATGTAATTCATAAGCCATTTTCTGGAACTTGCCCCAGCCATACATTTATGATGAATCTTGCAGCTTCAAAAATTTACCATGGGTAAATCCAGTCATTCATATATTTCTTTTGCACAAATCAACTTATTTCATATGTGGAGGCACATGACAATGATGTTGTGCTAATTTAGGAACCGCACTTTTATAAAGGTGT